TGTCCAGTTTAATCAAGATAATGTCTCTCTCCAGGGCAAATGTTGGGTGGGTTTGCTTGCAGCTCATTACAAAAAATGGGGGTTCCCCATGCTTAGAATTTCTCATCTTTGATGTAGGCCCACTGACATGCCTCCATGTGGCCCCACTTGCAGCACACCTGTGGGACTTGAGGCGCAGAGGGAATCAGCACAAACATGAAGCTCGAGTAGCCTACTGGGCTGTAAGGAATAACGTCCTTTATCCCTTATCCCGGAGTCTCATGTCTTCAGTCATGAAATTGTGGCAGGCTACCTTGTTATTTGCAATCAGGGTGAAATTTCAGACCTTCCATGGTTCCTTTTTTTTTTTTTCCTTAAAGATTTTATTTGTTTATTTGACAAGAGACAAATGTTTATGAGACAGAGAGAGCTTGAGTCGGGGAGAGGGACAGAGAGAGAGAGACAGATTCCCCGCTGATCAGGGAACCCTACGTGGGGCTCAATCCTAGGACCCTGAGATTATGACCTGACCAGAGTCAGATGCCACCCAAGAGCCCCAAGACCTTGTTCTTGACATACAAGTTCTTGACATACAAACTAAAACTTTGATGAATGTCAAAAATATTCTAAGTGAAAGAAGTCAGATGCAAAAGACTATCGTAGGATTCCATTTACATGAAATAGCTAGAAGAGGTAAATTATAGAGACAGAAAGTAGATCACTGATTCCCTTGAGCTTGGAATGGGAGCGGACTGACTGTAAGTGAATGTGTGGAAACTTTTTGGGTAATAGGAATATTCTTAAACTGGTTTGTGGTAATATTTACACAAGTCTCTATGTTTACTAAAAATCATTAAACTGTATGTACACTTAAAACAGGTGAATTTTTATGGTGTGTAATTTATACTTCAATAACTACTTAACACACACAGTAAGATGCTATTTCACATTCACGAAAATCACCAAATTAAGGAGACTGGCCACAGTGTGGATCGACCAGGATGGGGAGCAACACTCGTGCATTGCTGGTTGAAGTGTAAAACGGTGCACTTCAAAAAACCATTTAGCAGTTTCTTGAAAAATTAATACACATCAAATCTATGAGCCAGTAATTCTGCTGCCTAGGTTTTTACCCATAAGAAATGAGAGTATCTGTCTATAAAAGGGGACAGGGTAGGCCGCCCCAAGATGGGTCACTGTGGCATGAAGATTATTTTGAGTTTAAAAGCCATCAAAACCCAGCAGATTAAGGAAAAGCCCTTTACCTCTTCTACAATTGCCTAAAAATAAATTTAGATAGAGGACCTGCTCCAGAAAAAGAGCTCTCACCATAGATAACTACATTATACTATGAAGTAGGTAACTGTAGATCGGGCGGAACCTAGGAAGGCCTGTCTGATCAAAGGACTTCAAATCCCATTATTTCTGAGTGGCCCAATCAGAAACATTCATTGACTAAACCTTTACTCTTTTTCATCTTCCTGTGAATTGCATTCCTTCGCTTTGAAGTCCTAGATCCCTATTTCTTTCTCTTTAGTTTAGGATAACATACATACCTCACTTTGCCTGCCTTTGGAATTTCCATGTCTGTGCAGATTCCCTATAGGTATGCTATTAAATTTAATTTTCTCCTGTGAATCTGTCTCATGTCCATTTGATTCTCAGTCCAGCCAGAAGGACTTTGAAGGAAACAGGAAATTCTTGTTCCCCAACAACATATACTGGATGTTTATGGCAGCTTCATGTATAATTACTCAAAACTGGAAATCTAACCAAATGTTCATCAACTGATAAAGGAATAAACAAATGATGGTATATTCATACAGTGAAATACTATTTGCCCCTTCCCCCACCTCCATAAGTTACTGATATGTGTAACAACATGGACGAGTCCCACAGCCATTATTACACTAAGGAAAAAAAGATGCCAGATACAAAACATAGGAAGAAGTAGAATTCTGTTTAAGTGAAGTTCTAGAATGGGTAAAATCAGCTACAGTAACAGAAATCAAATTAGTGGTTGTGAGGCATGACAATGAAAGGAAGGGACATGGAAACTTTTGGGAGACCCACAAATGTTCGATATCTTGATATATACTTGTCAAAAGTCAACCTGTGTGCTTAATGTATGCAAATTTTATTCTAAGTAAATTGTACCTTAATGAGGTGAAAAAAAGTTAGCTTATTATCTTCCCTTGAAATTGCCTCTCTCTATCATGGATAATAACATCCTCCAAGTTAACCATACTCCCAAACAGTGAAGATGTTGTTGACCTTTCCTTTTTCTTTATCTTCTAAATCCAGTTAATCATAGGTCCAGTGGATTTTCCCTTTGAAGTCTTTCCATTCATTACCACCTTCTCATCCATACTGTAGCCTGTTGTTTTCATCTGCCTTGCACAGAAAAAAGCAGAGGCAGAGAGGGGAGGAGGAGAGAGAGAGAGGTAAAAGGAGGGAAAGAAGGAAAACTTATAATAATGAATTCCTTTTCTGTTTGTTTGTTCATTTTTTTTGTGGGAGGTAGGATTTGAACTTAAGCTCTGTGTCATGTTTCTGTTCTTTCCAACAAACGCTGAGGTAGAATGTTGCGGTGGTTAATAGCTTGGACTCTGGGGCCAGGAGGACTAGCCTCTAATGAATCCCTGCTCTGTCACTTACTGTGTGACTCTAGGCAAGTTGCTTAATCATTCTGAACTTCAGTTTCCCCATTATCACTATACTACTACTGCTACTAATGAAACAACCACGCCTTTCTACTCCATAAGCATTTTTATTGCCATTCCATCACTGAATATTTAAAAAAAACAAACAAAAAGAACAATGTGTTAGATGCTACAATGGAAGTCATGACAACATGCTGTGGGAGGACTGAAGAGGTGCAACCCACAGTTAGGCAAACTTTAAAGCATAGTCCCCAACACTGCCTTCATCAACTCCATGTTTGGGGAGTCCCCAAATCACCGTTAGGTTCTATAATTGGCTCTAAAGACTCAGAACTCAAAGAAAGCAGTCATAGTTTAATTACAGGGAAGGATACAGATAAAAATAAACTAAAAGTAGAGACACATAGGGCAGAGTGTGAGAGGGCTTCAAATTTGAAGTTTCCATTGTTCCATTCCCAGAGAGTCAGGATGTGACCTGCCAGCATCAGTGATTGACAATGCTCACAGGGAATTCCAACCAGGGAGGCTCCCTTGAGCTTTAGTGACTGGAGTTTTCACTGGGGCTTCATGACATAGGCATGGCTGATTGTTTGCTACAAGAGTGAACTCAGTTTCCAGGTCCAATGACACTACATGACTCAAAGCCCTGACCCTAAGCACATTGTTGGTCTTTCTTGTGTAGACAGTCCCTGCTCTAAACAAAGACTCCTACCAGATATGACAGAGTGCATCCCAGAAGCTGAGAGCAAAGATCGGAACTTCTCTTTGGATAAAGCCAAATTCCTTAGTACACAGGACATAACCCAGATTTGAAAGCCAGCTATGGTTTATGATTAGGGTTAAGATAAATTAAAATCCTTGGAAGAATCTGGCAAAAGCCATACTGGATTGATTTGCTACTGTTATTTTTATGTGGTTTTTTTTTTAATAATTTTCCTGTATAGTTAAATAGCAACGGCAATAATTCTTACCCCTAAACTTCTGTGTTATCTTGACCACCCCTTTCTTCTTTCTTCCTGTTACCTCCTGATGAATATTTAATGTTTTCCTAAAATTAGAAAGTTTTTAAGGGTTGTAAGAAAAGCTGAACTGAAGGTTAAACACACATTTTACTTGGAAGAAAGGAACAGAATGGCCATAATCAAGTGTGGGAGTTTATCTGTTTTTAGCAATCTATGTTTTAGTCTATATTGCTGTAGATAATTGAGAGTTGCCCAAGATTGGTTTTTGTAAATGCTTAATTTTACTTGATTTTTACATGATAGTTAGCAAAGAAGTTTCCAAATAATTCCTCATTTCAGCAATAATAGGCAAGAAAAGAAGAGCAAATCCGTGGACTATTTACTTAGATGAACAGAAATACCCTTTTTCGAAACAATGGATATGCAAGATTTAGCCATTAAAGGGTTAGAGTTAAATGAAAATCCTCTCAATAATCGTTGAAATCTGAGAAAATCTTTCAAGGAAATTAAACACTTGATCGAAAAGAGGAAAGGGTTATTGGTGAGAGCTGAAATTAAACAGCAGAGCTGTTTGAGAAGAGGCCTCAATTATAAGAAGCAGGCAGTTAACGATATCCTCTCAGGGATCTGTGTTTCCTCAAGACCTCTCTTTGGGGAAATGCAATGGTTTCATTTTATTCTCATTTAGATAGGAAACAGTGCCTCACCTTTGGAAAATGTGAAGAAAACTTTAACATTTTGAAAAAAATCAAAATTAAGAAGAAAGAATTTAGAAGTCTGTTTCCAGTATAATCTAAGAGTAAGAACCACCCCAATCTGAGGGTCTAGGACACTATAAAAGCATACTTGCATCAAATTTTATTTTGTAAATGATTTTTAAAAAAGCAAAATAATAGTGATTCACACTTTGTTCACAAAACTAACGAGGCACTTCTAGTATTTGAACACTTTTTGGCTCATAAGTATGTACAAATCTGGGGTACCTGGGTGGTGCAGTCGGTTAGTGTCTCACCCTTGGTTTTGGCTTGGGTCTGATCTCAGGGTCGTAAGATCGAGCCCCACGTTAGGCTCCACGCTCAGCTGGGAGTCTCCTTGAGTTTCTCCTTCTCCCTCTGCCCCACCCTCCCCTGACTGTCTCTCAAATAAATAAATAAATCTTTTTTTTAAAAAAGTGCAAATCCCTAAATGAGTCGGTTATTTGAATCCTGTCTTTGTTGTGGGCCAGGCAAGGAGACATATCCATTGCCCGGTGGGGGTCAGGGGCAGTGTGGAAGCAGGCTCTCACTTCATCATACTGGCCCTCCTCTGGCCTCTGTTCTTCGCTTCCTCCTGTTGCTTGAGCCCCATTCACTTCCAGCCAGAGCCAAGAGCTGGGGACCAGCTGTGCCCTGCTCTTTTAGTCTTTCCAGGGGCTGAAGTACTGGGCCTGGGGCTGGCAGTGGGCCAGCAGCTCCTGCCAGCGAATATAGGTCTAGGCTGCCAAGTCCTTGAGTCTGGTCCGGTGCATGGCCTGGGGGCTCTCCCGGATATGGGTGCTGATGTGACTGTCCAGTTGCATGCACAGCAGCTGCAGCTCCCCCCACTGTTCTGGAGTAATGTCCTGGCAGCTGACCACCACTCCGGCCAGCGTCAGCAGGCTGTGGCATAAGTAGCAGGCCTTGTGGTCTAGCTCAGCACTGGCCTTTGGCTGTTGCTCCTGGCCGGGTGGCATCTTGACTCATCACTTGACCCCAAGGAAAAAAGACCACTTTTCCCATGCTGTATTTGTCTATTGGAAAAAAAGAGCATGAGTCTACTTTCTAGTGAAAAAGTTACTGTTATTATCATCACCTGCCCTCATCATCCTCAGTACAAGTACCACATACTAAGTGCCAACTATGTGCAACAATATAGTTCCTTTATTTAATTCTCATAAAAGCACTAAAGGTTTCAGTAGTTTAGAGATAAAAACCTGGCATTCCAAGAATTCAGATGGTAAGCAACCCAGTTAAATGAAAACCTAGTTCTGTGGGGCTCTAAATGTCCCCACTCTTAGTCCCTGCACCCATGGGTTGATAGTGGAGTAGTTCCTTTGAGCAATTCTATCTCTACTGCTGCCAGCATTCAGGACTGGCATTCATCATACTTGTGCTCACAGTCAGCTCACTACCTGGAAGGACAAGGGCTCTGCCATGTCTATGGGCCTAAGGTTAATGGAAGATGGGTCCCCACAATTCAGTGGGGGAAGGGGCAGTGTGAAGCAGTTCAGCTTAACTTGGTTGTGAAGGGAATCCTGACGCATCTGGGCCTGAGCTGCAGGCTGACCAATCCCTGAGTTGAGCTAAATGAACTGTTTGGTCCTGGGCCAACTCTCTCCCACACTCCACCCCAACACCACATGTCAATAATAGGTGCCTGACACCTCCTAATCTTCAAAATTCTTTCTAATATTGTTTCTAAACCAGCATGCCTTCTATTATAGCATACTGCCTTTTAGGTAAAAATACAAACAAAAAAAATATTTCACTGGTATCTTCAGTTGGAACTCTTTTTTCCCATGAGAGAAAACCCCAATATATGTCTAAGAAAATGGATAAATCTATGGACTCACAGAGCTGAACTGTGGGACAGGCAGGATGAAGCTGGCCTGAGGAAAGACTGGATCCAGAGACACCAACACCCCCAGGTAGTCTCTCTGTCTCTTCATGGGAGACACTGGTGGCTCTGGGCGCACACCCTCAGGGAGCCACAACCAGAAAGGAGAAAGTATGTGTGAATCTCTGGAGCTCCTCTTTGAAAAGTTCTGGGAGACAGTTGTGATGGTCCAGTTTGGATCATACAGATCATGTGTCCAATATCTTGAACCAATCATTGGGCCCAGGGAGGCAGTCATATAAGATGGCTGCTCCCTTTTAGACCATTGGGTTGGAGTGCAGAGAGGAGGAGTGGTGCCCCCAAGGAAGCAGGCGACATCAACAATGGACACCAGGAGAATTATCAGCAGCTTCCCCAGTCTTAGTCTACCACAGGGTCATATCTGGAGCAGGGGCTGGGTTCTAACATCAGCCCGAGGCTAAAAATCACATATCTCAAAATCATCCTTGGAAAAAATCTCTAAAATGGCTATACAATCCTAATTCTTAGTCACACTAAAGATTAAAAAATACCCAGCTTGATTAAAGGAAAGAACAAGATAAATGTCTACAGACTGATATTTGGGCACTCCAATGAGCTTGCTTTTAAGAAACTAATCACACCTGTTCCCAAGAATGGGCGATATGGAGAAAATTCTACAAGTGCTCCTCTTTATCCATAGGGTACACTTGGTTCTTTTTAAATATGAAGCTTCTTCTGCCTTCATGCATCTTAGTAAGAGAATTTGTTGTGACAACTGAGAGGTCTGTGAAGGTACAGAATACAGGATCTGGCCACAGAAGGTACTCGGCAAACATCTGCTGGAATCAAGTCCCAATCTTCCTCGAAAGTAAAAAGAAGTTTCTTTGTTGGGATTGGCATCTCGTGTTGTGGCCCCTCCAAGCCTCAACCATGGCATGCTTCTCTTGGGTCTGGTCTTCTGTCAATGGAATTGTCTGCTACAGGAGCTTGTCACAGCATGGGTTTTGTGCCGGGAGAGGCAGCTTGAGGGGTATAACTTGTGTTGGGATGGCTTGAGGAGCTTGAGTTCTCTGCTGAAATTAGCCCTGAAACTTTAGGCAAATCCTTTCAGTCCTTAGGGTCCGTTTCCTGTCCGGCAAAGTTGGGATTCTAATACCTCTCCATCAGTAAAGCTATTGCAGGGAGAATCAAATTAGATAGCATCCAGCTAACGAGCAAGCTCCTATTACGAACTGATGTAATGAATTGCTTTCCTTTCTGGGAAGGGATTGAATTGTGCCAGAGCTCAGGACACCAATACCCAAAGAGAGTCTGGAACGCCCATGGGCACATCTGGCAATGACATCTGGCAACGAAATGGTTAAAGCAGCAGCTTCTGTCTCAAAGAGAGAGAGATGGCATGCCTTTCTTCACTGCCCCCTGTTTATGGCAGAATTAGCTTCTCCCTGTTTCTATCGAGCGGCCAAATGATTATTTTCAAATATGTGGAATTGTGCCTTGTGAGAAAAAAATCATTTTTGATTTGGATTTCAGTGTGTGCAGGAGATGTGATGTCAGTGAAGAGATTCGGCTACTGAGCTAGGAAAGCGTGTGGTTTTTAAAAGCATTCAGGACTCACTGTTGACTGCTGTGTATATTCATTCGTTAATTTATTTATACTTGACCACTTGTCCTAGCAATCTTTTTTTAATGTTTCATTGCTGGCAGTTGACTTTCTTCCTTTCCCGACTCTGGGATTAGCCTCTTTAACCTTTCCTAACGGATGGCTCTGAAATAGTTCACTATTGTTCATTATACTGCAGCTCATGTAAACATGTTTAATGCATGTTATGATTATAAGGACCCCTTCTGGCCCAGAGAAACCCAGATGTGGCACAAATATTCATAACACATGGCCTCTGGAAAATACCTGGCTTGGAGATCTAAGCCAACGTGGAATTAATTTGATGTAATTCAATCTCTTGGAAACATTGTCTAATATAATTGCCTTAACATTATATTACTGATTGGTTAATTTGGAGAGAAATGATCCTTTTTTTGATAAGCATAAATTAGAATCCTGTGCTGGTTTTGCAGAGATTAGGTTATTCGTTTCATTTTAATGGCCTTGCAGGCCTCCAGTTCAACTGTTGCTGAAGTATAGTTCCTGCCCAGTAAATCGACACCTGGGCTTAATGAGTATCTTGGGGTAATCATCCCAACATTGCATAGCCCTAAGCAGCCACCCTCATTTTTAAGAACATAAATCCTGTGCTACTTATTTTCTTGGGCCATAAATGCCCTGTCATTGTACCTCATCTTGGAGACACATGCTGTCTACAACAAATGGAACATTCGTGATCATTACATATGTTAAAACACCCAGACACTGAAGAAAGGTACAGCATAGGTCCCCAAACTGTACCTAGAAGATGGCTTGGCACATCCCCATCAGTTATGCCCCTCGATCACAGAGCCAGTGAGTTGCCTACACCAGAATGCAGGACAAGAGCACGCGGATAGAGTGATAACTGTAATGCACAGAGGATATGCAATATGACAGGGCTGAGACCTGGCCATTCAGTATACTAGGTCCTGCCACCTCCTTGCCTTATTCGTGTCTCCAAGCAGAGCAGCAGCAAGTGACTCATATTTATTTGTTTGCCAGGGTGAGAGTGAGCAGGTGGAGTGCTCCAGCAGAGAGACCGGTAGACACAGAGACCTAGAGATGAGAGAGAGCATGAAATACTCATAGAAGTAAGTCCAGGAGAGCTGCGAGTGCAGACCGTAAGGAGCAGGGCAGCATATAGAGAAGAGGGCAAGTTGACAAGGGTTTTGCCTCATTGTAAGGGCAGTGGGAAACTCCTGAGGAGCATTCAGTAAGGAAGTCATATAATCAGATCTACATGATTATAAGTGTGTTTTCTAGCTGTGGGACAGAGAATAGATTGTAAGGGGGTCAGGAGTGTATTCAGGGAACCCTTGGCAATAATCCAGGTAGAAAACTAGGTTTCCATGTGTGGGAGTGGGAAGAAGTAAGGGAAGATTTGGCACGGGATGATTGACTTGATGTGGGGGTTGGTGGGATGGTTGGTGGAGGGGAGGCAAGAAGAGCTCCCAGGTTTGCGACTTGGGCAACCGAGTACCTGGGGCCGTTCATGAAGCAGGGCAAGACTGGAGGAGCCTTAGGGTTTTCATCTGTCTTGTTCTCACTTGTTTAGTTTGCAGGGTAGGAAATATGAACCTGAGTTCAGTTCCAAGCACACTGGATTTGAAGTGTCTCTGAGACACCCCAGCAGAGACTGGTTGAGGAGTCACGGGGGTGGGGGTGAGGGTTCGGGGGCTGGGAGGGTGTTGGTGGTGGTCAGGGTCAAAGAGAAGGGCTGGGCTGGAAGTCCTGATCTAAAGCTCTTGGTGTGAAAATATCAGCCTGAAGCATCAGGAGTGAGCTGAAATCTTCTGAGGGGAGAGAATTTCAAAGAAAGAAAGGAGGCTTTCCAGCATGTATCCTTAAAGAGAGGCTGACAAAGGGGATGGAAAAGTAACAATCAAGAGAGTTGGGAAGAAACCAGGAGAACGTGGTAACTTGCAAACCTAGAAAAAAAAAGATTTCGCAAATATTATCCTGTTTCCCTGCCTGTGGCCTGGAAGGCCGGAAGTTCCCCTAAATAGAGCATGTCTGCCTCAGACTTCTGGATCTGACCCTGGTCCTACTCCTCCCATGAAGCCAGAGAGGCAACAATTGAACAACAAACACTTACAGCAATTACCATTTGGGGAAGCTCTACTCTGGCCTCTATGGAGAACAGAAAGAGGTAAAAGAAGTGGGTCCTGTGCTCAAGGAACTCACCCTCTTGCAGAAGGGTCGAGAAATATTTTCACAGAGAAAGAATTCACAGGGCAGGGCCATGTGAGTATTCACTTCCATAAGGCTCATACACTGGATGTTCTAAGAGTTTAAAGGAAGCAGAAGCTGCTGTGGCCTGAGAGAGTCAGAGGAAATGTGGATTTGAGCTAGCAAGGGCCACATCCTTAAGCTCTGAGTAAGCTGGCATTTCAGGCCCACAGAAATGGCCCGAGTGCAGAGCCCCAAGCGGGGAAATCAGACCCGGCTGTGGATCCCTCCCGCTGGGCTCC